TGGAGTTGTTGACGTTTCTGATATCTTTGTTCCCCAAAGGAATCAATTTTAAAGGAAAAAAGAGAGACCATATTAAAAAATGTCACCAAAAGAACCTATCTTCCTATGTATCCCCCGAATCGACTAAAACTACCAAATTTCAGAGCTGCATTGCAACGATATCTTACCTACAAATCACCAGTTTACATCATCACCGATGCTTTGCCTAATGATCTTGAAGTGTTGGAATCAGTTTTCCATTTGGATTCTTACTGGCGTGTACCTGTGAGTAAGAGAAAAATTTGTGGACCATTCAATGCCATAGGAGAAAAGATTTACTAGAGAAAAATATGGTAAATTTTCAGCTCAACTTCATTTATGTGGAACCCGCACCATCGTCAGATTGTGTGACAACCATTGAGAATCCCGACTACAGAGCTATGGATTCATTAGCTCAGCGATCCGGTGGAACGACTTTTTATTTCTCGTCTAATAATCAGGGCTCTATACAATCAGTACGAAAATTCACAAGAAACTCTTCTTCATAATTTTTAGAAAATGATTTTTTTAAGTTCCTCTATCAACACATGTACAGTACGATCTATCGTTCTCAACTACTTCTTTTGGACGATCTTCCAGTTTGCGCTAATCAAAAGGTCTACAATCCTATCGCCATTGATACCTCAGCTGATCAAATGGTTATCGTGGCTACAGGAAGTGGGTAGCACATGTTTTTTTTTGGGGAAATTCTTAAGAAAATAAACTTTTGGGTAAAAAATCTCTAGATATGCTGCAATTATTAATTTAGAAAATCTATCGCTTGTTCTCACCACACCTGAAGGTGGACTATCCACTTACGATACCGTATACACTGACGGAACTAATTACATTTGGTAAGTATAGAGCATTTTTTTCCAAGATTTACTATTACTGGATACGGTACTGACACTGTATCTTCTACCTGAGTAGTTTAAAAGTTCATGGTCTTGTAGAATTTCTCTAAGAACCGCAGCTTTGTGTGATTTCAAATTGGCTTTATTTATTCTTCAGGACAAAGAACGGACCTTACACCGGAAATTGGATGGTCTCTTTCTGGACATCTGAACAGACTCTAGGATGCAATTATAAAGTTTACCAAAAGTCGTACCACACACCAGGTACCATGATTTCATAA